TGGTGTTTTTTTTTTAAATATTTGTTACATTAAAACGCCGTCGCTTAGGAATCAATTTGTATTTATTTGGGATAGCATACTTGCCGTTTAGACTCATTCAAAATAATAATATTTTGAATAAACAATATCATAAAGGTTGAAAATTAAGAAATGAAAAATTCATGTGACACAAAAATGAAGTCGGTAATATTATTCAAAACGTTTTTTACAATTCGATTATTACTACATAGTTCTCTGTTTATCAGTAAACCAATAAGTATTTTTAAATAAACAACACAGTTTAATCATTATCATCATTAACAGCCTTTAATAGTCCACTGCTGGACATAGTCCTCTCCTTAGAAAGGAGGTTTTGGCCTACTGTATCACGCTGGCCAGACTGTTATAGGGTTGTGTCAAGTTTTCCTCCTCTCTGCAGTGCTGTTGTGCTGCGTAGTTTCCTCCCTTAGTCGGCTCTTACGACACCCACAGGATGAATAGGAGTGGTGACACTCTGTATTCTTAATCCGTCACCACACGGACCACAGTTTAATACAAAGCTTAAATTGAATTTTCACGATATCTTTTAAGTAAAACTAAAGCTGGTCTGAATTTTAATGACAAATTAAATATTGAAATCAGAACAAAAACTTGAATAAATTTTATCTTTAGTTCTATTATTACCTGGTCAAGCGGATATTGGATGATTTCAAGGTAAACTAACATCCAGTGTCCAGTTATGACATTAACACGGCCCTAGGATATCACAATATCAAAGCTTTGAGCGCAAACTAAATCGCCATCTTCTAATATAGTCAACAATTTAACTGTCATAAACAGAACATGGTTTGTTATTTGACTTTAGTTTCAGAGTGAAACTTTGTTCTGTTGGGTACAAAATTAAATCTCATCAAATTTTACGACTTTGTAACATATCATATAAGACACAAGGTCTTTAATTGTACATTTAAAAAACCGTATATGGTGCAACTTATCTGGATTATAGAATGTGTCGCTGCGCCTGTGAAAACCGATAGAGCAACGACCGCTGTTGTACTTCACGGAATGATTATAGCCTCTCAACGCTTTGTGCAAGACGTATAGAATTGTTTGGACAAAAGCTAAGATACTGTTACTTTAAGAACTTCTAGGTAATATCTAAGTTGGTCTACTACTATGTGCGACTTAATAATGTTCAACGAAGGAAAACTTGTTGGAACGTAGTTTTGTTCACACACTTTTGTTACTATATTCTCTGGGTATTGCGTCCTTAGATTAGATTAAAAATCGCACATTAAAGCGGGTCGTGTATTTGTTTAAAAACTCAGTAGTATGGAAAAAAAAAAGTTGGCTGTGGATGAGTTTGTGACAGTCGTTCAGACGTTGAAATTTGAACGTAATTTATAAATTCATAAAATATATATTATAAAATATAACATTAAGTTCAATTAGAATATTTATTTATTTATGACTTAATGAACAAATATATACATCGGCGGACTTAATGCCTAAGGCAGTCGACCGATTGGGCGATGCAGAGAAAGAATGAGGTAGGTGCACTTATGGGCGGAGTGGGAGTTCTCTCGCTCGATAGCCTGATTGCGGCTATCGTGCGGAGCGAGAGTGCGTGGAACTCTGCCGTCTTCTTCTGCGAGCAAGTTATGCTCGCGAAGGAGACGCGGCGGAGCGCGACCGGGAGAGGTTTAGAACTCTCCCGGCCCGCCAGGCCCGGGCACGGGCCAGGTAGCGCAGGCGACTCAGGCGCCGGAGGTCGCAGAACGACCTCCGTCCTCCATAAGCGCAGGCCTGTTGGTGACAGGTGAGGCCATCTGTCACCCTAGCAGAAGCAGGGCGGGGTGGCGGCGAGCGCGTTGCGAAGCGCGCTCGCTTCCAGGGAGCACAGGGAACATGGGGTTCCCACACGGGGGGGGGGGGGGGGGGGGTCGTCTACTCGTCTGTAGATGACCCGAGGTACGTCGGGGCACCAGGGACTTCCTTTCTAGGGTATACCTGGTTCCCCGGCTATTAGTACCCGGCGAAGGTGTGCGGTTTTAGTCGGTTCGAGTCCGACATGCCATGCGGTGGTATCCGAGGGGATTTCCGCACAAAACAAAAAAAAAAAAAAGGTGCACTTATGGGAATAAATGATAGAATCCTTATTCAGTGCCTACTATTTGTCCTTCGAATAGACGAATATAAGCAGTAATATATTATTATATATATATATATATACCCGAATTAACTCATTTACATACATACACATATATATACATAGATATATACATAACCACTCGACTCGTCTTCGACTCGTCTCGACTCGTCTTCGACTCGTCTTCGTCTCGTCGTTTATCATTGTTAAACAAATTTTGAAAATCTTTACTTTCAATAAAGTTATTATTAATATTTTTATATATTCATATACGCATATGCACAAATAAATACACATACAAATATATAATATATTAAACCTAGCTTTCCCCGATTAACCAATTTAACTCAGAAAAACTTAATTTTGCTTAAGCACGCTAATCTCTCGAACTATTATTCAAATAGTAATATTTATTTTATATGGTGCATTTTTCATTGAGTTATAGAGTATGTAAAATACTACGGCCCGGCCGTATCCCACAGCCTCACAGAAAACTAAAAATAATTAAATATTTATTTAGTTGCTTTTCACTCAGTGACTAAGGTTATAATAAAAAAAAAAAAAAAAAAACTTTTTATTGTATAAATGAGATTGTAGGTTTACACAATTTACATTTATTAAGATTAGTTTTTGTTATTATTTGAAGTCTACAATAATATCATGGTTGAGTATTGTTTGGCTGAATCCCCAAAAATAGTGTAAACTGGTGTATAGCACATGTTTTCAATTTAAGTTAGGAATTGTGCCAATATTATGGTTTTTTGTGTGTGTATCGTTTAATGTCTAGTTTATATGTATATGTTGTGTGTGTTTCTGTATGAGTAATGTATGTGTGTTTCTGTATGAGTAATGAATGAGTGTTATGTATGTTTGTGCTGAGTGGTCTGTCTGGTGTATAAGCGTCTACAGTATGTTGTTAGAGTGCGAAATCTATAGGTAACGTCATGATTACCGGAGCCCCAACCTCCCCCCCCCCCTATTTCGGTGGAGGGGGGCGATTTGTATCCAAGATGTCTTTTTCCATGTCCCTGTAGTAAAAAGACTATGTACAATTGTATACAATAGCTTTATTTACGCCGTGAGCAATTAAAAAGGCATTCTGTATTAATAATAGCTCCTCTGTGACGTCATTAAACAACTTTAGAAGACCTATAACTTTATAATGGTAATGTTCGCTTACATATATATGTACAGGTATTAGCGTCGTATGCATAATGTTCATATGTGAATGAATATACATGAGAAACTTTTTGGTCTCAGGACCCACTTAGAAGCCTAAATCCCTGTTTACGTTTAAATAACTTTGAAGGAAAATTAGTTTGCATTAATCTTTATAAAGTCTTCGGGTCAACTTTGACCCCTTTTGTGAGAAAAACATAATTTTCTCAGGATATAATCGGGTGAAGTTTGGTATTCTCTGAATTTTAATTAATAAATTTAATTTATTATATTTATTTAATTTCAAATTTAATATGTAAATTATAAAAGAGAGGCAGCTCTTTTTTAACATTTACATATGAAATTTGATCACCGACTTCAAAATAAGTAAATTACGACGATACAATTCTCTACTCTTGTTATTTATTTTAAGCTTAGGAAGTCACAAGTCGGCGTGCGGCAAGACGCACCGTGAGGCAACCCTGAGGGTTTGCCCAAGTCGTGGAGCGGATCCAGCAGCTGGGTCTCGAGATGGCTATATAAAAACGAGGCCTTGTTGTTTAATGGGCCTCGGAGGAAGCCACCTGAGGGATCCAGCCTCAGAATAGAAGGCACTCGCATCGGTTTCGAGCCCTCGATGACTCGGTATCTAGAGCCCATGGGAGTTAGAGCATCATTTCCAAGGTCTGGTCACCAAGTTGGAGTTAGAGCAGCGCGTTCATTGCCGCGGCTGCTACCCAACATGAGGGGACCCGATGACTCCTGCAAGATACTCTAGTCGGAGGCGCGGGAGTTGGGTAGGAGTCCTGAGACTCGAGGAATCGAGGACAAGAAAACCAAACTCCACCGGGTCCTCGTGGAGGAGTAGAAGGAGCGACTTGGGCAACCGAGCACCGGACACACCGTTACCGCGGCGGTAAGATCCGTTATGGAGATTGGCTCGATACGCATCACGGAGCCCGGGAAATAATACTTTGGAGATCACCTGTGTCTGCTCCGCAAGAAGGCAACGCCTAAGTGCCACCACCTTCGATAACCACTTGTGAGTGCTATCCAAGGGGAGTTCCGCAAAGAAAAAAAAAGTCACGAAGCCGAAGCATGTCTCTCCCACGGCACAACATATTTCACTCCTCCTTAAACACATCAATGACTTAGAAAAGAGTTTTTGGCCTAATATACCGCGTTGGCCAGACGGGTTGGTACACGGTTTGTGTCAAGTATTCCTTCTCTTTGCAGTGCCGTTGTCGTAGATTGCTCCCTTAGTTGGCTCTTACGACACCAACGGTATGGATAGGGGTGGTGACACTCCGTATTCTTAATCCGTCAACACACGGATTATTATTATGTATTATTGCTTTATGTGGCGATGCAATAAGAGTTAATTTAACTTATACTATTTCAATTAAAAAGGCAAACAAAAAAACTGTTGTACAATAAAGTTTTTTCGATTCTATTATATCTTATTAATTTAAATACAGATGTACATCTTAAATTTCATATTTAGTTATGATAATAATTATCATCACTAAATACGCAATTGAAATTATTTATCTAACCGACTGCATAGTCGTTCTGTTTAACACACTTACTCGTAAATACTAATACATAGGTAGGTGTGTAATAATTAATAAAAAAAATATACGTATTTAGCTCACTTATGGGGCAATTTGAGTCGTATAGGCTACTTTACAGAGATTAAAATTCTTTTTTACAGATGTCTACCGATAATATGAAGAAGGGACGATTCGACCAACTCGGTCTGCCTCCAATGGAGTTAGCAGAATCTTCAGAAAACAGTAAGTACTCTTCCTTTAAATCTCGTTTCATAATATGAGTAGTATAGATTTTTCTTGACATGATTGTGGAGAAAATAATGATTAATTTAAACTGCAACAGCTGCGCAAAAACTGCGCAGCGAAAGTAACGAAGAATAATAAAGAAAAACATGCTTCACAATTTTTGTGACACAATTCTAATAAAATTGTGTTGTTCGTAGCTAAAGTAACTAATGTCTGAAAAATCCTTATTTAGATACAAAGATTAAATCAAGCCTTATTGGTTCATACCTTGGTAGTTTAGTTCCATTTATTTTAACGTATTAAAACTGAGCACTTCTGACGAAAAACTTACAGTTTTGTCGACTAACGACGACTAACTTTTGATGAATTGTTGGAGGCGGCTTTGATAGCCCATCTTCCAATTTCAATTGATAAGTACAAGTACAGTTCAACAAAATAAAGTTTAAATTAAAAATATTTTATTACGCATCGGTTCTATTACGAAATTATACGCAAACTATGTTTAAAAGCAATTACTGTTTAAATACATACTAAAATATAACATTCATGTATTTACCAACAAAATTCATTAAATGTTTTAAATGATCTCTTATAAGTGTATTTTTAATACATAAAAGTTATTTGTTTGACGCCAATAGACTTGTTATACACTAACTTACTTGTATTGTATAACTTACCTGAAATAATTGTTGTTTACCTTTATTAATATGAAACGCTGATGTTTGGTCTGTGCTGTGTGAAAGCCACAACACAGTTTATAGCTAATATGGTTATTTTTTTTATGGTAGAAGGTGCAAACGAGCAGACGTGTCTCCTGATGGAAAGCGACTACTTCCGCCCATAAACGCCTGCAACTCAGGAGTCACAAGCGCGTTGGCGGCCTTTGAGGAAGGAGTATGCTCTTTTCTTGAAGGTTTGAAGGTCGTAACGGTATGGACATATGAACACAAGCAAATTTAAATACTGGTTTCTTGATGTAATAAAGATTAATATTATATTACAGGACCCAATAACAATGGAATGTACAAATGTTTGTTCCCCATATTACAAAAAGTTATGATAATATTGTTACTGACAATATTTGGAGTCGGTACATACGTCTTGCTGTCAAAAATATTAGAGAATTATGGTAAGAATATAAACCATAGTCCACATTTACTTGAATAATTAAATACATTTATTATTAGCTTATACCTAACTATACTATGTTGATAATTTCAGAAAGCCCTATAAACACTCAAATAATATATATAAAAGAAAATAGTGAGCCTTCTAATATGTTTCATTTTCTACGATTATTCAATACCACATCAGATACTGAAATATCTAGAAGAAAAAGAAATACTGATCCTGTAATTGATCCTAATTTAGATTTAGATGAGTTTAATTCTATAAATTTCAATGAAGACCAATTAGAAAAAGCAAGAGAAATAATCATGAACCATGATATCACGTGTAGTGAAGAAGATAAAGAAGGCATTTGCAAAGATCTTGTGACAAAGTTGAAAGAAATAACAGAAAATAAAGATTCTACCAAACAAGAAGGAGATTCATCCAAGGTTACTTTAGACACAGACAATAACAAAACTAAACTTTCTGAAGGTGCCACAACTGATGTAGCTAAGCGTGAAGCATTCCCCATACCACACGAAGGAAGTATTGTTGACACAGTACCATTACCGTTGGGCCTTTCAAAAAACAGTCAGTATGATTTCACGCATTCAAGTGAAAACTCTAATAATTGCCTCATGAATATTCTAAAAATGTATTCTCGAGCACAAGGTAGGTAGTATTTAGATATTATTTTTCCTTAAAAACAAACTGAAAATTTTCCGATTTTCAGTCGTGGTCAGTTTTGGTTAAATTTCGTTATGCAATCGTTCAAAAGACTTAAATATTTAGTTTGAACTTCTGAAATATTGAATTATTTGTATCGATGACAATGTGATCAATCTTCAACTATAATTATAGTTGAAGTTTGAACAATTATAATTGTTGCACATCACATCACATCAACAGCCTTTAACAGTTCACTGCTGGACATCGGCCTCTTATTGGAATGGAGGTTTTAGCCTACTATACCACGCTGACCAGGCGGGTTAGTGTAGGGTGTGCCAGATTCCAGAAGGAGGCGGCGGAGAAGGCCCGGGACGACCTCCACTCGGACCCGATCCGCCGCCGGCGAACCGGGCGGCGGAGGCGCGCTCACCTGCGCCTCATGCCGCCCTGAGTGTGGCCGCGGGTGGACGGGATGGGTTTTCCCCTCCACCTGCATTAGTTTGGCCAGCCGCGAGGGAGCGGCGTCCGCGTGTGCCGGACGTCGCCTAAAGAGAGGATAACTGGAGACGGAGCCCGCACCAGGAGCGGGCCGGCGCTGGGAGGGGTCCAGAAGGAGATAACTACCTGGACCCCCTAAAATAGAAGCGCAAAGAGAGCACGTTTTAGACACACCGCCCCGCCGAATAAAGAACCCCGGCGGGGTGACGGTCCGAGGGGATTTCCACACGTAAAAAAAAAAGGGTGTGTCAGATTTTCCTTCTTTTTGCAGAGTTGGTGTCCTGCGTTGTTTTACGCCCTTAGTCGGCTCTTACGACAACCACGGGATGAATTGGGGTAGTGATATTCCGTATTCTTAATCCGGCACTACACGCTCATCTTAAGACGTCACTATTATACGGATTGCATTAAGTTTTATTTTATTTAATTGTTGCATTAAGTTTTAATACATTCAAGAGGTTTCTAGAGGGGCGATAGATTTTTTCATTTCAAAATTTTATTATTATACTACAAATGAACTTCGGTGATATACGTAATTATGAGAAATTTTGAAATTAAAACCAAAATATAACTTAGCCTTATGAAGACAGCTGGTTCCACTTTGGACAATACATAAGCCCCGTGATGGAACCACATCTCAAATAAGTCGGTTTCACTTTAACATAACCACATTCAGATCTCTTCACTAAAAGGAGTAGATTTGGCGGCTAATTAATGTGACAATTTAGCTTTTTTTAGTTGACGAAATTCGGATTAGTAATTTTAGTTACCAAGCACATAGTTAACAAAAGAAGTAACCTTCGTTATTATAATTCCCTGAAAACTTCTTAAAAAACTTTTTACTTAAGTAGTTATTTTCACAACCTGACTATTATCATTAATTCAAGACCCTTCTAAATGAGCTGCTGATTATGTCGGCTTTGACTAATTCATCAACTACATAATTTTAAAGCAAAGAATTACAAAAATAACTACAGCAACTTTCGCTACATACCTTTTAAAAAACCTCCATTATGTTTTTTTTTCTCAATTTACAGATTATTCGGCACAAAGTGAGGAAGATTTTCCCCGTCAAGAACCACATTACGACCGTCCATTACTACCTCGTGGCAGGTTCGTAAGCAAAATGTCGGCCAAATTTATTTAATAAGCTAGCGCTTTGTTTCACTTTGTGAATATTAACTTTCTTTTGCATTATTACTAAGGTTTTACTCACCACCCTCGCTAAAACAAGCTCGTAACATTGATGAGCCCAGACGGAAAATACACCCGCAAGACGTTGATATACTCATGAGTTTCCTCACTCGTAAGTAAGTATTCGTAAACTAAATAACAGTATTTTAATATTATAAAATGAATTATCTCTTAATTCAAATTAAATGATGAAATTATATTTATTTCTGGCATTTCCTAAGACTCGCTCTGGAAAGAAATACCGAAACACACACAGAGAGGTTTTCTTTTTTTTAAGTCCGTGTACAAATATAAAGAGAACTATGTGAGTGCAGTATAGAGTGCAGGAAACACTTAAAAGCTGGTTAAAGCATGGTAGTCATATGTCGTACGGTCATCCTCGCAGTAATCTGCTACATTTACTTTTTAATTTGGATTTAGACAGCGGTGTGTAATATTCTCAGAACCCTATAAAACTATATTCATAAGCCTCCTTTGCGAGATGATCACGATATGACCAATCCATGTCGTGAAAAACATGAAACATCCATGTGAAAAACTTGTCCTGAGAAACTTACACGTAAAATATGTTACGTAATAAAATAATTAAATCCTATTATACAATTTTAATTATAGATAAAAGTTGACACGAACATGTGAGTTTTGAGTACGATTATCTGTGTTTGTGTGTGTGTCTAAATATGTTCCTGCCATTTTAGTAGAGGGACAGGACATTACAATAGGCCAGTAATTAATGTATCGGGACTTTATTTCGGGAAGTTATTTTGAAATTCTCGCTTTACACACAGTGTTTAATTTTACCACTAATATTAGTGATGGAACCTAAATTTAATAATTACTAGTTTTCCTTGACTTCATAAAAACATAACGCATAACAAAATGAAATATGTATTCATAATCTGTGAACGTAGTTTTTCCACCACTTCGCACTTCTGACTTTTAAGTTGCAGGTCCAGATGTCGCCTATAGTGACTAACCCTTTGGTGACCCGTCTGCTGTTTGCCACCTTTACCATAAAATAATAGGTTTTCAACTAAAATTAATTGATAATAGGTTTGAAATAGAATAAGAGACATTTTGTTTTTGGTGGTTATACCTTAAATTATATTTATCATTATTGCATTTTCAGATCAGATGCTATGCCAACTGAGGGTCTGTTTAATTCCTCTTTGGAAATCACATGTGCTACTGGTACGGTAGCATGTTTGAGTGGAGACAGTTGCATAGAAAAGAAACAGTGGTGTGATGGGCACGTGGATTGTGATGACGTCAGTGATGAAGCTGGATGCAACTGCAAATCCCGAGTCGATAAATCTAGACTCTGTGATGGATATTTTGATTGTCCTTTCGGAGAAGATGAATTAGGATGTTATGGTAATTTTTGTTTCTTTTTTCTTGTTTTTGGGGTATTAATAAAAGAAGCGTTTTAAGTAATAAAGGTGGATTAATTGTAATAATAAATAATAGCTAAAGAGCGACATAATATATATGAATATAATTTTGAGGTTAACTTTCTTTAAATTTTAGGTTGCAGTGAAAGCACATTTAGTTGTGAAGACTTGGATATAAACTCACAGAGCACATGCTTCAGTAAGGAACAGAGATGTAATAATGTGCCTGACTGTCCTAATAACAAAGATGAAAATGAATGCAATATGTTGGCTCCAAGTCTACTTATGAAGCCGGTAAATTACCCTCGTGGCTTTTTTTATAAAAAAAAGTTTATAATATGTGTTAGGCAGTTTGTTCAGTGATTTACATTAAACAATTATGATGTTGTTTTGAAACTAAATATGATTTTTTTAATTCAGACATAAAATTTTTGCTAAAAATTTGGTTAAAGTAACGACATTGTAATCGGTTTCACTTAAAAAACTAGTTTATTGTTGTGCGATGTTCAATTCTACTTTGTGTCTTTAGCGAGTTACAGATATTTACTGTTTTCGACTGAAATTAAAGAGAGATCCAATCTTATACGAGTATACTTTACGATCTTATAATCTGCTATTTCTGTATCCGAAAAAACAAAGTGAAACAAACATATAGCATTTATTATAGTTTTATTGCTTTGCAAAATATTCGCCGTGATGATCGATGCACTTGTGCATACGTTGGAACCAATTTTCATAGCACTTTTTGCACTTTAACAAATGACAGCTACATCAAACAAATTGTATTCTTCTGCAAATCCATTTTTAAATGTTTTAATTACTTTTTAAATATTGTTCCGTAACTGGCCAGTTCCGCGTACATAAATAGCAGCCCTCGTATTCGATGAAAAAGAATCGAGTAAAGTTTTATCAGAGCTTTGTTTTGACATTTTGTAAAACTTTTTTTACTCACATTTAATTACAGGTCTTTTCAGTGTCAAACACTGAAGGCTTTTTACACAGAAACTTCAAAGGAGAGTGGTATGCGGTATGTAAAAATCCATATATGTGGGCTCATGATGCTTGCCGTCGAGAAGCCGGTTTAATTATTAGGTTAGGTCTTTTTGTTTTATTTATTGAGTTTTATTTTTATTTTTTACAGTTCTCCTATTAACTAAATGATCGTATTTTTTCAGGCCACCTATAATAGAAATAGTTCCAGTAGACCCAATGTTAAAAATAAACTATATTAACACAAATCACGGTGGATTTGTGCATACGACCGATAACTGTTTAAATTCTTCTGCTGTCTATGTGACATGTCCAGATTTACTCTGTGGAACTCGGGTGCAATCTGCATCACAATTAATTAGAGAGGTACGTCTATGCCATCTATTAATTTTATACAAACTATATTTTAAAGGTTTAAAGCCCGCCGCCGAAACCTTGAGGCTTAAATTATATTTTATTAATATCAAAAAGTAGCAAACTTCATACGTATGTAAAAGACACGAATACAGTGATATAATAATTTGAATGGGACTCACGGAGACCAGGGACTTGAAAAACCTACGTGAAACTAATCATATTTTACGCTTACTTGAAGTAGTACGGATGGCGTAGTGGTTTAAGCGGACGCCACGCCGCTTTCTATTGCGCCGAGTGTTGTGGGTTCAAACTCCACATGGGATAACACTTTGTGTGATCCACAAATTGTTGTTCTGAGTCTGGTTGTACTTTGTGTCCGTTTCATGTATGTTTGTAAAGTCCCCCGCGACACAGGATTTATTCCTAGCGCGGGAGTTGTCTTTTTTAAGAAAAAAAAAAGAAAAAAAAGTAATAGTTGTCAAGGAGTAGTTTGCATTTTGACTTGGAGTAATGAGACATCAATAATCCTTGATTTATACATACGATACCAAAACAGCTGAACAAAGAGTCTACTCGAAATTCATAATTTGCAACCTTTCGAGGGTACGTATTGATAATTTGATACGTGTATTGCTTTTGCACGAGGCATCCCTACGAAGAAATACGAATAAGATTATTGTACAATGAATCCTTTCTATATAACGCCTGATTGAATTGTCTCTCTGTATATATTTTATTTGCGATGGCAAACATCTTTATAACTTCTATGAACTTAATTACAGAGTTGATATTTATTCGGGTTTAATGTTCTTTTGTATTTGCCTCATCATCATTCATCATCAGCCTTTCGCAGTCCACTGCTGGATATAAGCCTCTCCCATTGCACGCCACTTAGATCGATTTTGGCCATCAACAATCTATACTAATATTATAAAGCTGAAGAGTTTGTTTGTTTGTTTGAACGCGCTAATCTCAAGAACTACTGGTCCGATTTGAAAAATTCTTTCAGTGTTAGATAGCCCATTTATCGAGGAAGGCTATAGGCTATATATCATCACGCTAAAAGCATTAGGAGCGGAGCACCAATGAAGAATGTTTCAAAAACGGAGAAAATTTATTACTTGAGAGACGCAGACGAAGTTGCGCGGGTCAGCTAGTAATAATAATAATAACAATGATACATAACTGTCGCATTCTATGATCTCATTTTTATTGGTAGGGAAACGTAATTCCGAGTACGTTATCGCGTTTACGTTGGTAAATATACATACATATATATATTATGTAAATCTTGCCACTTTGTTACTATAGTTCATATTTTTAAAGAAGGTTAAGTTAGTACATTTTTTTACACGTAAATATTTTGTAAGTACGGTTGGTTGATGGTAACGTAATCTGCGGAAACTGACACCTTCGTAATATAGCAGCTTTCTAGCATCCAATATATAGTTTACTTTCTGTTGTATCAAATTTTACATTTTATCATAATTCAATAATAGTTGTAGCAGAGGCCCTAACGGACCTTTTTTTTTGTTGACGGGGTGGAAAATTCCTTCGGATCTGCACTCCTCGGGAACTCAAGAGCCAGGAGTATGTGGTGATTCCACTAAAAACCACCCCGACTGCCGGCCTCAGGTGTCCTACTCTGGGGAGGACCCGGACCATGTTATTTCAGGTCCTCCCCGAGGCCCTAACGGACCTAATTCAGTAATATAATGATTTACCTTTCCTATCGATTTTTCCTAAATTGTTTATGTTCATTGCCTCTAAAAAAGTGAAGAATAGAAACTCATTAGATATCGTGAGCTCAATATCTTCGGACTTAATTATATTTTCACCCTGCAGAAAACTGCCGCCGAAAAAAAAAAATTACAAGATCTTTTGGAGAGAATTGCCAACCTCAAATCACAGGCGTTGCGAGTTTAAACACTGGATGGAATAATTGGTCTTCACACTCGTATTTAATTGTGAATTCTTATTTAGCAGTTAGCAAATTAATCGAAGTCGTGATATTTCGTGAACCTGTAAATTAATACGTACACGTGACACTCTTCAAAACTTAAATTACCTATACCTACTCTATAATTAAACTTCTTATTAACAAATACTATATAGGTACCAATTCTATGAACAACTTAAAAAAAATAACAAGACACTACGAGAAAACAAAGTGATTCAAAACAATATCTAATCTCAGGGATACTTGTAATGCTGGTTCTAATACACAAAATAAAATATTCGAGCATTAAAAATTCAATGAATGATGTTAAAAATATATTTATGCAATAAACAATTCTAAATACGTGAATTTCTTTTAAAATAGACAATAAAATCCTTTGCACTCTCAGAAATACCATATCAGCACTCGGTCACTGTTCTGAGCGAAATAGGTACTTAAACGTGTTAGTAGACGGTTCATTTTTCAAATAGCAATTTAGCATTAGCAGTTTTAGCAGATCAATGAAATTAAATTTAGTCTTCGCATTTCATTTTATATATGTATATTAATACATTTACGAAATTTCACGACTACAATTAATTTGCTAACTGCTAAATGCTTATTAAGAATTTATATTGAAATATGAGTGTGGAGACTATACCTCTATATCATCACTACTATATAGTATTAATTAATAAGAAGTTGATTTATAGAATATGTATATGTGGGTAATTTAAGTTTTGAAGCGTGTGACGTGTACGTTGTAATTAGGTATTTTGTGTATAGATAGTGTTAAGAGACAAATGGACGAAGGCTAGCATATCGCGAAAACCTATATATTGCATTATTTATGTAATAATGTTGGAGAGTGAGTTGAAATATGATAAAAATTAGTTATTTATGTAAAATTAATACTTGATATACCTACAAGTAACGATCTTTTTTATTCGCTCTCCTCGTACGAAATTGCAATATTAGCAAATAATAATAGCATTAGCAATTAACATGCTAAGACATAAGAATTCGCAATTAATTTAATTAAATCTAATTAGCACTAATGCCCATTACTACTGTAGGGTACTGTGTACTACTGTATATTAGACTGCAGCAGTTGCATTACTTAACCTAAAACTTAGACTCAGGACGTGCATAAAAAATATACTAATAACGATAGATATTGATTATATAAGTATAGGCTATTGGTGCCTACGTGCTTATAGCTTTCATAATTAAACATGAATTAATTCAATTGAAAGCTCGAAGAACTCTTGCCCTTCGCTTTAATCTATTTATTTAACTCTTTTTTCATTAAATAGTCATTCAATATTCCTTTAAGAAAGTGACGTCATAAGCAGTTCTGGCATGGATGTTTTTTTTTTACTTATCCAGACCAGATTAACTACTCGCGAACAATAAACATCACTTTCTGATGTAAAAGATGCCTCAACATTTCGGAACACGTCTTAATGTCATCTTTTATTAAGTTTCCTTGAGCAATATTTGTACAATACTTTGATAATCTTTTTTTAGAACAATGCTATCGAAAATCATCTATTTGGGCGTAACAAAAGATTTCTTCGTCCGAATCACCCCACATTTTATGTCTACCGCCGAAAACGGGACGTCGGTAGCAAGACAAATTACGGAATCAAATTTGGCACATCGAGAATGGAAGATCCCTTTGTCAAAATGAGAAATAAAAGGACTGAAAGCAGGGTGGTGGGGGGTAATCCGAGTCAGCCGGCAGCATGGCCTTGGTTGGTTGCGTTGTACAGAGATGGAATGTTTCATTGCGGAGGGGTCATCATATCTCATAGTTGGATTATATCCGCCGCTCACTGTGTACACAAGTAAGTATCTTAAATATTAAACCTACGAGTTTATTGTCTATTTTACTAGACTCTGCAAAATGCACATACACAATAGTACATTTTATTTAATGCTTAATGCACAAAAAATGTCCAAGGTAGGCTTAATGCCATAGGCATTCTCTGCCAGTCTACCCTGGTTTAGTATAAAAATTAGTGATTACAGTGTACATCTTTTGTTTTAAAAGCCCTCTGACTTTTTTCGCACTTCTTTCTTTTTTTTAAGACAACTCCCTTACTAGGAATATGTCCTGTGTCGCGGGGGACTTTACGAACATACATGAAACGGACACAAATAACACTCGGACTCAGATTAACAGTTTGTGGATCACACAAAGTGTTGTTCTATGTGAGGATCGAACCCACAACTCTCAGCGCAGTAGGAAGCGGCGAGATGACCGCTTAAACCACTACGCCATCCGTGCAGTCAGATAGACAGACAGACGTTAAAATGAGAAAGTGTTTTTCTCAATAATTGCTGATTATTGTTAGTAAATGATTTAAGACACACCTTTTAACTTATCCTGTGTAAGAAAGTTACATGACGGTAGTCTATCAACTATTTAATTAATGGATTTTTTTTATAGAATATTTTCCACAGCTTCACTTAAAGTTGTTAAAAGAATTCTCACGATTTCAATGTTTTCCATGTGTTGTACGTTGTATTTTGCATTCAGAATTACATAAATTTTGGTTCAAGTCGGTCACAAGCGCGGTAAATTAGTTTTATCTTATGCAAGTACTCTATGCCGCTTATCTGAATATTTTTTTTATTTTATGTTATATTTATTTTATGTCTGCTCATTTGCCCCCTGCAAATGAGCAGACAGGTCACCGTAAGCAACTACCGCTGCCCATGGACACTTGCAACTCAAAAGTCACACAAAAGTTGCCACCCTTGGAGTCCCTCCCGTTGAGTCAGCGAAAGGGATTTGGGCTCCGGTGACCTCACTCACTCAGTGAAAGGCAACGAAATAATTGCTTAACACCGGTTTTCTGTGAGGCCGTGGTATCACTCCGGTCGAGGTCCATTCGTGCCGAAGCATGGCTCTCCCACTAGTATAGACTTAAAATACTTTCACAGATTCTGGGATCACTATTACGAAGTTCAAGTGGGTATGTTACGACGATTTTCTTTCTCACCACAAGAGCACATCCACAAAGTCACCCACGTCATAGTTAATCAGAAATACAACCAAAAGGACATGAAAAATGATCTTTCTCTAATCAAAGTAAAACCAGCAATACAGTTTAGTCGGTGGGTTCGACCAGTTTGTTTACCAAATCCTGATACAGCTGGACCTAATTGGCTTTGGGGTCCCTCAGCAGGAACTCAATGTACTGCAGTTGGTTGGGGAGCAACTGTGGAACATGGACCCGACCGTAAGTCCTGAAATAAAAATACACATATTTTTATTTTCCATAATATGATGTAAAGTGCTAACACTCTAAACTACTTCTTTAAACGTCAAATTACTGTCAAAAACCGTCAAATTTAATTTTTATTTTGGTTATTAACAATTTTTATACTTGTGCTTATTAGATGAATGAAAAACATTTAACTATAGCATTTTGGAATCTTATTAAAACAGAGAGAGAAAGAGAGAGAGAGAGAGAGAGAGAGAGAGAGAGAGAGAGAGAATATGTAAGGAACATACTATACATTCAAAGTAGGATATAGAATTTTTGTAATTACAGTGAGAAATAGTAATAATGTGATTACATATTATTTTCTTTCAGCTGATCATATGCGGGAAGTTGAAGTTCCTATTTGGGAAAACTGTAAATACAAAGAAGATCGCGCTGGCAAAGAAATTTGTGCAGGATTGAGGGAGGGTGGCAAAGATGCTTGCCAGGTACGAATTTAAAATCAATTTTAAAAAATTAAGGTGTCTTTAAAGGGCCATTTTTTTTTCTTCTCTTGCAGATATTTTACTTTAAGAACAGGGTCCTAAAACTATTATCATATAATGTATAATATATAATAATAAATTATATATGACGGAGGACAAATTATTTTTATTAAGTGAAATAGTTTGTAGTTGCTCCGTACATTACTAATACTACCTACATTTTTATGTCAATTTTTACTTTATCGTACTAATAAATATTAACCAAACCATGGAAAAGCATACATGACCTATTTTAGAAAATAATGTACCTTATAAGTTCTAAGCACTGTTCTAAATCATAAACCTACAACTTATGCATGCGCTATTATTCCAGGGTGATAGTGGCGGGCCACTATTGTGCAGAAATCCTTTGAATTCACAACAATGGTACGTAGCGGGCATCGTAAGTCACGGAGACGGCTGTGGTCGTGAGAGTGAGCCTGGTGTTTATACTCGAGTGAGCCTCTTTGTAAAATGGATTAGATATCATACAGGTGAGTGCGATACGCTGTTCTCTAAGTCGCTTTCTGCAGTTATATAAACAAGAAGGAGTACTATTAAACTTACTTACCTACTTGCTAAAATCATTCTTTTTGCTTCATGCGTCCCCTTAGATGTCAAAAAATCACACAAATAAAGTTCCATTCTTTCTTAATGGGAAATTGGGTAACAATGTCGAGGAATAAGTAAAAAAAATTAATGTAATTGAATATTTACTTTTCACCTTATGTGATTGCCTTATGTGTGAGGCTTGTGTGGTTTATTGATCACTCTTAGGAACACTTAGCAGTTCTGACTCAGTCTCTTTATAACACAAATGCCTTTGATGTAAGAAGGTCTAAATTAAATCTCCGAGTTCTATTTATAGCTGCTTCCTATAATTATTCGTGTTTCCTTTGGTTTTACAGCATCGAAGTCTTTGCCAATAATTCAACCAGTACAAAAGTGCCCTGGATTTAAGTGTCAATCCGGAATTTCTAAATGTCTTCCAATTAAGAGGAAATGTGATAGAATTATTGACTGTCTCGATGGAGACGACGAAGTTAACTGTAATTTTAAAAACATACTTTCAACTTTTAATGATAATGTTTTCTCTGCTGCAACAACAAATTTTACTGAAGAAATATTTGCCAGAAAAGATGATAGAACAGAATCAAATAACGTTGAAAAAGAAACAAGTACGACGGTACTCAATGTTGTGAGTTCTACAACTGAATCAGAAGTTATAACTTCTTCTAAAAGTACAGTTATTAAAAATCAAGAAAATAAAGATCTTATTAAATCAGTAGAAGGTAAATATAGTTGATACTTATTTAAATATGACTTTCAATTATTTTTTAAGCCGTCAATGGTAAAAAAATCATTCGCTGTTTTATTCGACAAATTGTGTATGCAAAGTTGCCTGTTTCAATCACAATATAATTACCTTGTTACTTATGTGTTTGAATAAAGACGTAAGTAACAAGTGTACTTTTGTCACGCCTAGCTTTTTTGTGCCAGAATATCTTTTTTAACAGGTTACAGAATTTTTACTTTCCAAATACTTTAGTGTCGTTGTTGATATGCTTTTACGCTTTCATTATGAATTTTTGCATGCGATTTGTCAAAGCTTTGCAAAGTCATGTAGGATACTAGCACCTGTAGTAGAGTTTACTCTCAGGTATTATTTATGGGTTTTAAATACTTTACGGGTACTATTTACTTTGGTAAATAATGAGTACAAAATGACTTTGGTTTCTCTGTAGGTGTGATTGATTAATGCTTTTATAATTTATGATCTGTAATAAAATGTTTCAGCATCTATTATTAATTTGATCTCTCATGCCCGGTAATATTAAAAAAAAATATTTGTCTTTTCATTTACTTATACACACATTCATACCACATCTGTATTATAAACGAATGGAAATTACTCAATATTAAAATATTGTTGAACCGCAACTACGTGCAATATGTGTACACAACATACATAATATTATTATAAAAGGTTAAATTTTAGGAGAGTTCTGTGTAAGCGACAAATAAAACTAATACAACTACACTATTTAAGCTTTGCTTAGATATCTTTGATTTAAAACTAGATTAAAGAAGTAAGAACTCACTTATGCAATACTATTAGATTTTTTCATAAAATGTTTGAAATTATAGAAGTAGAGCAGCCTGATATTCAGCAGTCAAGATTAAACGAGAACTTAAATTTGAGAAGTTCAGAAGACTCAAGTAATGTCGACAAACCTGTTACATTATCACAATCCGATGACAGTACAAGTAATGAATTTATTTCAAAAGGTCGTGGGGATGCAGAGAGTATTGCGATTGAGTTTATTGGAGAATCTCTAGAATCGAGATCATCGGTATTAGGAAAACTACGTGAGCATACCACAGAAACAAACATTGATGATAATTTTAACACTGAACCAGAAGTAATGGAGCCGACATCTGAAGCGTCCACTAGTATCTTTGAACAACACCCGCAAGCAAATCTAGATATTACAACACAAAATAATAAAAATGAAAAAAACGAAATTCCTTTAATAACGCAACATAATTTAGAGCAAAATCAAAATGATTTCAAATTTACAACAAGATCAGAGGACCTGATAGTGAAGCTTCTTCCCACAACTCATTTAGATTTGCCTGATCAAACAGTTGAAGAAACCGAACATATTACTCAAGCAACTACAGTTTTGAATAAAAATCAAACCAAAGATGATTTGTCAAAGACATTATCAGATTTTGACATCGAAAATATTATTATTTCGGAACTACAGCCAGCCACGTTAAGGAGGAAACATCACATACCTAAAGAATTCCAATGTCGACGGTGAGCTACTAAGTTCAGTAATAATTCTCAATAGATCTGGATCAATTTAAGAAATTGATCAAGAAATTGAAAATAGATAAATCATTGTGAATATGACCTTAAATTATTTCGGTTATAACAAATAAAAACTATAAGAACTGACTATTTAGGGACTCCATTGTATAAGAAAAAACTTGTGATTCATATGTTTATTCCAACTTTACAGTATTTTCCAAATGATACCCTACCGTCATCATTGCGACCGTAAAGCTGACTGCGAAGATGGCACCGATGAACTTGATTGTTCATGCAGTGACTATTTGTTAACATTCGACGAAAAGCTTGTCTGTGATGGTAATTATGATTGTGCTGATGGCCATGATGAAACCAGCTGTTGTAAGTACTAAGACGATAATTATTTTATTAAGGGTAGTTTGTAAAGTCAAATCTTGTTACAATTTAAAAAAATCAGTTCAAAGTTTAGTAGTCCAAAATATCTATAGTTTTATGTAAAATACACAAGCATGAATAAAGATTTACATCATCATCATCATCACTAACCTTTAATAGTCCACTGCTGGACATAGGACTCCCTTAGGAAGGAGGTTTTGGCCTACTATACCACGTTGGCCAGACGGGTTGGTATCGGGTTTGTGTCAAGTTTTCCTTCTCTCTGCAGAGCTGTTGTCCTGCGTAGTTTGCTCCCTTAGTCGCCTCTTACGACACCCACGCAATGAATAGGGGTGGTGACACTCTGTATTCTTAGTCCGTCACCACACGGATTTACATGATGATTACCAATCGACTACCTTGAACGAGTTTTATTTACATGCACCCACAATATTTAAATTAGGCTCGCAGAGTAATTAGTCTGTGAGTCTATAAGAAAAAAACTATCTATCATACATAAATGAAACTTTTTTTTTTTTTTTCCGTGCGGAAATCCCCTCGGATACCACCTGTCGGTGGCATGTCGGACTCGAACCGACTAAAACCGCACGCCTTCGCCGGGTACTAATAGCCGGGGAACCAGGTATACCCTAGAAAGGAAGGCCCTGGTGCCCCGACACACCTCGGGTCATCTACAGACGAGTAGACGACCCCCGCCCCGTGTGGGAACCCTATGTTCCCTGTGCTCCCTGGAAGCGAGCGCGCTTCGCAACGCGCTCGCCGCCACCCCGGCCTGCTTCTGCTAGGGTGACAGATGGCCTCACCTGTCACCCCCAGGCCTGCGCTTATGGAGGACGGAGGTCGTTCTGTGACCTCCGGCGCCTGAGTCGACTGCGCTGCCTGGCCCGTGCCCGGGCCTGGCGGGCCGGGAGAGTTCTAAACCTCTCCCGGTCCCGCTCCGCCGTCTCCTTGGCGAAATGTAGCTTAATTATTTCATGGAATATTATGTTTACAGACAGTTGCGAAGAAAACCAGTACCTATGTAAACAAAGTAAAATTTGTTTACCCTTAAATAACATTTGTGATGGAACACCTCAGTGTCCAAAAGGGGAAGACGAATTGGACTGTTGTGAGTATAAAATTATAATTTTGTGAACTAAACTCTAAATTAAAGTAATTTTATACGAATAATAATATTTTACAGTTGCTTTAACCAATGGAAAAGAGATTCAATTTAATTTAGATGAAAGACCGGCGGTGAATTTAGAAGGTTACCTTACTCAAAAACGTAATAACGACTGGCAAGTAGTATGTGATGATAAGTTAACACTTGACCAACAAGAACAAACTGCTACACATATTTGCAGATATTTAGGATTTAGGTAAGGCTTTAATCAAGTTGATTATAATAAAAATAATAATTTTACCCCATACCATCTTTTACCAAACCATTACTCATTGCTTATTGATTATTATGGAAATAAAATGCAAACTATTGGAACTTTTCATTTTCATTCTATAGAAAGAAATTAGATCCATCAAAGATGCGTACTATCTATATCTATGTCCAGCAGTGGACTGATAAAGGCTTTTGATGATGATGATGATGATGATGATGAAACATGCGTACTACTATAAAAAAAAATGGCATAGGAGGAAAACGAGTAGATGAGTCACCTAATGGTAAATGACTACCACCACCCAAGGACACCTGCAAATCAAGAGCTAAGTCCCCCAAAATTAGGGGGAGGGGATGTTTGAACTCCGGTAACCTCACTCACTCGGTTAAAAGCCTCGAAAAAATTGCTTAACACCTTTTTCTGTAAGGCCAAAGCATCATTCGAGTCGAGTCTGACCCTTATGCGCCGAAATATGATGCGCTTTAATTGTGTAGAATCATAGATTATACTTTACACACTTTTTTGTTGCAGTTCTGCAAACAAATTTAAAGTTAAGTATATAAATATCAAAGAAGACGATATCGCAATGCACACTTTAGATTTCAAGACTAAAAGGATAAAAAGAGATGTTGTACAACGGTCCCCTGTACATTTTGTCTACAGGCAGGTAAATGATCAGAATGATGCATCTCAACACATGTTACTACAAAACGCTCAGGTTATCAAAGAGGAATGTGTGCCTAATATAACGAAAACGTGTAAATCACTATACATTGTTTGTGATCATACGCTTTTTACTGATTCTGATGAGCTTAATGGTATTTTCTTACGAAATACCAATTATGCTATTCACATGTGGCCATGGGTCGCCAAAGTTTTCATTGACGGAGAATATAAGTGTACGGGAGTATTAATAGACCTCTCATGGGTCTTAGTAAGTGAATCTTGTCTGTGGGATTCGATGTAAGTACTAAATAATTTCAATAACTTTATTGTACATTCATGTAATCAAAAGCTATGCAAAACGATACATATTAAATTAATACTAAAAAATTATATTATCTAATTTTATAATAGGTTTCACGAATTATAATTTGTTATGTTAATACGAGAAATGTGTTTCTTCATCTTTCTGTATTGGCATTCCACCGAAAAATACAGATACCTTGACGCCAGCCATGTATTTTGAGAAACGTTCGTACTCTTTGCTTATTTGGAACGCCAATTCTCCAGTGTGGCACATGCCGAGGACATAGACTTGGTTTTCAGATGGCTCCAGTTGTTGTAAATTCGCCAAAACAAACACCGCTGTTTTACCCATTCCGGACTTCGATGGACATAAGATATCCATACCGAGGACGGCTTGCGGAATGCATTCATGTTGGACTTCTGATTGCTCGCAATATTTTTAATTCGTGAAACCTATTATAATTCAATAGATGGTTGGTGATGGATAATACGAGAAATGCTCTCTTTCAGGCTCAACCGTGATTATGTAACAGTGGTCCTCGGTTCACATAGAACTTTAGAAGCAACAATCGGAATGCATGAACAAGTTTACCAAGTTGATGCTAAAAAGGATATTTTTCGCAGCAAAATAACTTTACTCCACTTAAAAGAACCAGCTTATTATTCGAATGTTGTGAAGCCAATGGTCGTATCTTCTTCGTAAGTTAACTTAACATCACGTTGAATATATAATAGTAATATAATAGTTTAAAAGATGTTAATTGAACGTAAAACTTCAAAAAAAAAGGTGGTGCTTAATAGTATTTCTTTTGTTTGTGACCCCAGAACTCCGTCAATCACGAATCTATTCGTATATTTTTTTAAGACTGTGCTTCCTTCTTAGTATACTATATTACAATCAATTCTAGCCTATTGTATTGTACCTAGCAGATTCATTACAATCTTAAAGTTTTCTATATTAATAATATGTAGGTTTATGTATGTATGTAACTTATGTGTGTATGTATTTGGTACGTATGTATATATGTATGTATAATTATCGCATTGTTTTCATCTAACATATCAATAATTTTCATTTACTTTACACATCATTGTCTAGTGCACCTAGTCACACATTTCAGCACCAACCTAAAGTAGCCTAGGAGAAAATGCCTATTGCATAAAGAAGCTAAGTGCATTAAGATTTAAAATAAAACAAAAAAAAAACAAAAATTGGAAAATCTATTTTATTTACATCCAAGTCGTTGATACTTTTGTAAAGGTAATAATACTGTTTCTATTGTAGGTTCACATATCTTGATCCAAAATCAACATGTGTAGCTGTTGGTGAGGATGATAAAAATAATACTTTAAGTATTACCCTAGAAGAAACAAGTGAAAACTGTAAACGAAATAACCGCTGTTTTGTTCGAAAATCAAATGTAACCTTGTGTTCTGTAAGTGCTTGTATTAGCTATTTTAAGAATGGCAAAATTATACCATAATACATTAACAATCACTGAATCTAGATCACAATGTGATCTGATTCAGGTTTCCTCTATGTCATGTTATAGACACTTAAAAATATCGGCAGCTAAGAGTGCTGGCTCATTGGAATAAACTATGTTTAATGAAAATATCCTTTAGGAAAATTAATAAAATTTATTTGTCACTATGAAATACAATTTAAAACAAAAATAAATAAACACAAATTATTTTACCATTTTCTTTCTCAAATGTCAATATTTATTTTAAAGTAATTCAAATTATCCAGTTTTGAGCTCTCAGGGGGCACAGTTCGTTGTTTTCTACATTGTCCGAACTTGTTCCAAGGATTGATCGGGTTGAGGTCCCGTTTTCGTGCCAGCCACTCCATTCAGTTAATATTTAACTCTTGAAGATTCACCGTCCGACTCAGATTCATTGTCTCGAGTGTATCTATAAACTAATAACATAACGCATTTCAATTATTTCAGCCTAACATTTCCTCTAATCGCCATTGGGCCGGTATCATCAGTTGTCACACAGATGAAGGCTGGTTCCCTGCAGCTTCATTTGTTGATAGCAGAGGAGAATGTGGTATGGGTGATCACATTAATGCTATAGATATCGAAAATTTGAAATACGAAATAAGCCATGTGAATAGTAAGTATACCAATAAACCCTCAAATCTGAAAATTTTCTAAGTAAACTTACATGAAGTAAATAATTTATTTGTTGATAACTTTGACAAATATTATCCATATCCCGAAACCGATGATTAAAATAACTCTATTCATAGGTTTTGGGGTACTTTCTACTATACTATATTGTTCCCCTTGTTTTTCTTCATTACTTCAACTATTCTAAACTGGCAAAAGAAAAAATATTTTAATACTATCTTTTATATGTAGATGTCGATACACATTTAATTTGGATAATATTTAATAAATAAAAATAATAATAGAAAAATATTCACAATTTATTTATTAAATGATTATTAAATCTAAGTGTATCGTAATTTCAGCATTCAGAGATTGACTGCTAGGCGTAGTGGTTTAAGCGATCGCCGCGCTACTTTTTACTAGGCTGCGTGTTGTTGGTTCGATCCCCACATTAGACGACACTTTGTGTGATCCACAAATTATGGTGTTCTTTGTGTCTCTTTCATGTATGTTTGTAAAGTCCCCCGTGACACAGGATATATTCCTAATGCGGGAGTTGTCTTTAAAAAAATTAGATTAAAACATTCATGCACAGAAACTCTTCTCGAGACACTTCTTACAAGCAAACTTATTACAGTCAATATTTGTTATATTTTCTAGATAGCAAAGGTATACCTTATTTGGTGACTAAAAGCCTTACTGACGATTGCGAAGGAATACGATGTGGTCGAGGCCGCTGTGTTCCCTTAGTACAGATTTGTGATGGCGTGAAAGACTGTGAAGACAGCAATGATGAGTCTGAGATTGCGTGTGAGCAGAAAAACGACAAGTGCAAGGATCCGTATCACTCTGGATGTGGTAATGTTTATTTTTGATGTGTAACACCTTGCTTTCTTGCGATCTCGTAATGATTTCGTGTAATGGTAGTGATTTTGTGAAAAGGGACGTAAATGTGTAACAGGAAACCAGCGAAGCAAGAGCTATTTTATTTAACCAATGGCAGGTGCGCTGATGTTGTGAGATTTTAAATGTTACACATCATATACCAATACTGTGAGATCTGGTCGTCTTTTATTAGGGACATAATATTATATATGAAGACTAACTGAGACCAACTGGCTAAGACTAATTGACTACATGAGCGCTCTAGTAATTATTTTTTACTTTGTAAATTTGAAAATAACGAATTTCTATACAACAAATCATCGTTTATTTTAGCCTTTAAAAAGTTGGTAAAATTTTCAAAAATTAATATTATTTAACGGGAATTAACGCGATCTCTTATTTAGGGTATTACATACCTTTGGTTTGACTGACGTTTCGACCAGGTTGCACCGGCCGTGGTCACAGGCTGACTCATAATTATCATGGAACGCGAAAGTTTAAAAGTTAGTATTTTCAAAAATTGATTATTAGTGGGTGCTTACAACATAAAAACCGAAAGTTCAAGTTTATAGCCCAGCGGTTTAGGGAAATGCTACTACCAAAAATAACAAAGTTCATAGAAATTTGCAACCCCCATTTTAGACCCTTAGGGGTAAAAAAAAACGTATTCTTAGTGCACATTTAAGTTACTTATAGTGATAAATTTCATGCTTCTAGAACCAGCGATTACAGCTGTGCGTTGATCGATCACTCAGTGAATCGGGGTCTGTCAGCTTCCTCTTTTATAGTTATAGATTACGCTCTTCACCTATTTCTTTAAAGGTTTAAAGTACTAAATGTATTTAAACCTGATTGATTAGTCAAAGCAAAAACAATAACAATTTGAAGAAAACATTTCGACGAGTAAATACATATTTATGTACAATTTCAATCAGTTAATAAAAAAAGCCAAGTTTTTTTCCGGACATTTCTTTGATCCAGTGATGTATATACGTAATAGGGTTCAATTAATTTTAAGTCTCCTACTTAGGAATGTAGAAAGTTATAGCTGACTCGAGGAGGGGGTAGGGGCAGCAACGCACTTGTGACTTTTGAGTTGCAGGTGTCCATGGGCGGCGGTAGTTGCTTACCATCAGGTTACCCATCTGGGCCTGAATTCTGCTATTTTATGTTCACGCCAAGCCACTGTCATACCACTGACACGCTATTGAGATGCCATCGAGTGGCCATTGGCATCGGTATAAATATCGGTAGTATATTTTCAAATAATATGGAAATTATTTATTATTATTATATATAATTAAAAATAAATAAATAATTTCCTTAGAATTTGAAAATATATTACGTTTTTTTGAAGAAATGATTTATTTATTTTTCGAAATATGGCAATCTTTTTGATATCACCACTGATGAGCCACTGCCATTCCATCGCCACTGTAAAGACACTGAGTTATTTTCAACTACCGATATTTATACCGATGCCAATGGCCACTCGATGGCATCTCAATAGCGTGTCAGTGGTATGACAGTGGCTTGGCGTGAACATAAAATAGCAGAATTGAGGCATTGCTCGTTTGCCCCCTTATACCATAAGAAAAATGTTATATTTATTGATAAATTTCAATTTATGTATAATGATAGTCCGTTATGCACACCCTACAATAGAGTCACCTGTATGTAATACGTACATGCATACACTCACGCCACACTCTTCTGCCTTCCTAGATAGGCAGAGACGATACAAAAGAAAATTCACGATCCTGATCTGTAGCTCACACCTCTTCCACATTTATTAAACCCTTCAGCAAACTTTCTATAACTCTGCATTTTTATCGTAATAAATCACACTGATTAATTATTCTAGAATGTTCATCTGGACAAATGAAATGTCGAAACGGGAAATGCATTTCTAAAGAATTATTCAAAGATGGCAGCAATGATTGCGGCGATGGTACGGACGAACCGGGTCGATCTTCTTGTTCCCATTATCTAGCCAGAGTGATGCCTTCTAGACTCTGTGATGGTATTCTCCACTGTGATGACAGAAGTGACGAGGATCCGATGTTCTGCAAATGTTTTGCAAAGAACACATACAAGTAAGTTTGCAAGAAATACCGCTGTACTGTCACATGTTAAGGTAGTCCTTAGTGCGACTACAAAAGTACTTAAAACAAATTTACAAGCTTTCTATTAATTGTATATGTAACTATATTGGTTCGGGTGGAATCTTAAAACTCAATTTTGAAGCAGATATCTTCAACCGATTGAGCTGAAATTTTGTGTACACATTTAGTTTGGATGACAATGCATAACCATGCATTGTCATCCAAACTAAACGATTTAGAAAGACGTCATAAAGCTGACCAGCTTTATGACGTCATTCTAAATCCAAGATGGCGGACTAGTTATTATTTATGCTCTCCTACAATATGCTTGCTGTGAACAACTAAAAAAAACCTTGTTTTTAAAAAGGTTTTTTACTTTTAATTTATTATTATGCATACCACATGCAGAAAAACAAAAAGTGACATTCGAATGGTAAAAAAAAAACACATTTTCAGGTTTATTGTCGCTCATTAGGAATGTGCCTTTCAACTGCTGATAATCTTCTGTAATTGTAATATAACATTTTACTTTGTTTGCTAGATGCGGCGGTAATTTTAGAGTAGATCACTGTGTACCTCAAGATACGGTTTGTGACGGTGTAAGAGATTGTCCCAATGGAGAAGATGAGCAGACTTGTATCGCTCTCAATGCGCCACAGGGGACCCCGTAAGTTCTAAATTTAAACTTTTATTCTAGTCTTATCGAAATTTAATATAATCTTTTGTGATCTAGTAATTATCGCATTTAATTCAAAGACTTGAAAAATTGAAAATGTATCTGAAGGTACTGTACCTACTCTATGTTCAGAAAGAATGATTTGAGTGGATTGATGCTAGAAATCAATTCACTGCTGTTGTATCAAACAATTATATGATAGAGATAAAATCAGTTTTATCAATTTAGTCATTAATAATGAGCTTGCGTGAAGTAGTAGAACTTTTCTGATGCGGTCAGCATTTGTTTACATGTGCGTACATTAATTAATTATTATTAATTCTGACTGCCAAAATAGAGGTTGTGGGTTCCATCCCCACTCAGGATAAATAGTTATGCGTTGGGCACGATCACTTGTTCTGTGTCTTGATGTGTAATCTAATATATAAAAATCTCATGTCACATTGTTTGTTATCGAACTCCTCCGAAACGGCTAGACCAACTTTTATGATATTTTTGTGTATATTTGGTGTGAGTCTCTGAGGTCTGAGAATAGGTCGTAAGTTATTTCTAACACCCTGAGGGTGACCCTCCCTAGATTTTTTTCAATTTTAATTGTAAATATATCAATTAAGTTAATAAAGTACATTGAATTAAAAAATAAATGGTTAGTGTTTTGCTTTTTTTATAGGCCGTCATGGGCCATAGCTCTCCATTCCACTTTCAGTCATAGACCCTAGCCCCACATACTTACAATAAGTTAGTTATTTTTTATTTAACTAACAAAACATTTACTGGAAATAATTTATATGACAAAAAACATTTGCCGGGTCAGCTAGTTTATTTATAAAATGTACTTCTTTAAGAATATAGATGTTATTGTTATATTTACAGACACGGTATAGGGCAAGTAATTGTCCGCTCCCATGGCGTCTGGCATTCGAAGTGTTATCCAACACAGAACCACACAAAATCAGAATTGGAAGCTATTTGCGCCGAACTCGGTTTCATTAGTGGTCATGCAAAACAAATACATCAAATAGAGGACCTAACGGTACACCCACATAACAATCTTGTTCTAGATTCATTTACCAATGTAATTTTGAACAATAATACAATCATCAAAATGAGGAACACGCATGAACCTATGGCCAAGGCCGTGTACGACAAGGAATTACAGGATTGTTACCCAGTTTTTATAGAATGTCTATAAGTATTTATGTTAATTTATTTTATGTATTGATACGTAGTCTACAATTGTACTATAAAATTACTAAAACATATTTTAAATACATATGGTTTAATTTTCCTTCCAAAAATTACACCAAAACCTTCATTTTCAATTATTGGGGTTGATTGAAATAGTGTTTCTTTAAAAGACGCCTTCTCTTCCAACGAAGCTCTCAGTAACTCCACCTGTTGGTATAAAATTAATGGATTTGAGTTGGCCAACAAACCAGTTTTATGCTCAACATGTTCTGGCTTAATATATTTCGGAATAGATTACAGAGATGGCGTTGTAGCTAAAAATAAAATTTAGGTAAATGAATAATGACGAAAAACAATATAATATGTAACTAACACCTTTAGTAGTTCTTCGAACCTAAGGTTTTCTGAGTACCCTTCGGGAATAAAGAAGTGTGAGTGTATTTATGTAAATATGAACTATATTTACACTTTGAAGAGAAAATTAAGAACATAAAACAATGGATTTTTTTATGTTCATTATACTCATCATAACAAAAATGCATTTTTACAATGACAAGACTCTTAATTCCTTGATAAATTGCTATAAAATAACTCGTGTCAGTACGCGAGTTATTTTTTAGACATATTGTTAAGAATAAAAAACGATAAATATTTCAAAATCATTGAATTACTAGTTTCGTAGTAAAAAGTAGCCTCCTCAAGAATCAAAATATCTCTATACCAAATTTCATCTAAATCGGTTTAGCGGTTAAAGCGTGAAGAGGCAACAGACAAACAGAAACACTTTCGCATTTATAATATTAGTATAGATATTGGTTTTTAGTTGCACATTATTGAGTTCTCAAATGGCTTCGGGAAAATAGTAAAGTGGTAGGTGTAATGTAGCAAGTTTCTTACCTAAAAAGACAACTGGGCCGAGTATGCTGCCCGAAATGAGAAATCGTGATACACATCGTGGTCTCCTCCAGTGGAAGTCTTCCTCTTCCTCTGTGCAGGCCACAAATGCGCTGGAAAGATGATGTGAAAGAAAGGATCTTACTGGATACAGAGAGCTCAATGCCGCGACGTATTGAATGAATCTCATACACCAAACTGGTTTAAAACTAACTTTTAAACTCGTTAGGGGTGGAAATTTTCTTCAAATTTAAATGGGAGCAAACGGGAGATATACCATTTCAAAATAGAAGTTCTGAGGTAATAAACGTAATAAAAAACACATACAGCCGAATTTTGAACCTCCTTATTTAGGTTGATTAAATAGGTTAGACAAAGAAGAATTTAGTTTTTAAGTCTAATAGATTACATCACTCACATGTCGACGACCGAATGGCGTAGTGGTTTGTGTAACGGACTGCTATTCCAAAGGTCGCGGGTTCGATTCCCGCTCAAGTCAAACATTTGTGTGCATGAACATTTAATGTTTGATTTGGTCTAGGTGTTTCTATGTATAATATGTATGTATTTACAAAAAAAAAGTATATATGTATTTATATCAGTTTTCTAGTACCCATAGTACAAGCCCTGCTTAGTTTGGGACTAGATGGCGTTGTGTGAATGTGGTACAATATTATTATTATTATGTATATGTTATACATATATAGGAGTATCAATACCAATGTATTTGTATTTAAGAGTGATAAGCCCACAACAAATTTGAAGTAATGTTACACCTTTACGCATAATCTGACGTTAAATTATTCAGGTCACGATCTCAAATTAATTTACAAAGCTATATTAAATTGAAGTAAGCCATAGATCTAAATATTCGAGTGCATTTATTTTTAAAACAACATGTCTCAAATCCTCATAAAACTGGAAATGAGCGGATTATGTTTAAGACTCCAATAATATATTTCATTTCCAATAAGTAACATAAAATGGAACAATCAATACATTTCGAAAGAAACCGTCAACTTTGCTACTTGAAAAGTTCTATTATTCATACATTCAGTTTTTTTTTTAAATTCTTATATTATTTTACACTAATCACAAAATTGACTATGACATATTTTTGCTGGAAAGCTACTACCGCCGCCCATGAACGTCTGCAACTCAGGAGTCACAAACGCGTTGCCAGCCTTTTAGGAAGGAGTACGCTCTTTTCTTGAAGGTTGGAAGGTCGTATCGGTTCGGAAATACCGCAGCTGATAACTTGTACCACATATTGGTAGTACGAGGCAAAAAGTGTCTTGAAAAGCGCACAGTGGTGGAGCGCCAATTGTTCAAGTGGTGGGGATAAAAATTTTGCCGTGTGGAACGATGGTGGAAGGAACATTATGCTAATATTTTATATGTTCAGTAATTCGCATTCATATTTTAAAACATTTAGACCATTTATTTGTGCGCCACTAGATACATAAAACATACAAGGTACATTACAAAAACACGACTTTTATAAAACATTTGGTACAATGTGTACGCTGCGCGAAAGCACAGCACTGGTTTTTAATGGAAATTAAACGCACACAAATAACCCGCAATACAATGAACATAAAATCCAAGTGGGTACATAAAAAAAACTGATAAGAGTGTGAAAGTGTGAAAGGACACAAAAATAGTGCTAAAATTAAGTTAACAATTTATGTAGGTTCCTACGACTAGACTCAAAGCGAATACGAAAGACGGGTGCGAAGGACACACGGTTCTGCTACAGTAAATTCTGTTTAGCAAGAAATTTACTAAGCAAATGTTTTTACAAAGTCGTTTGGGACATACTTTTTCGCAATTTACTTACTTGTATTTGTAGGCACTAATTTATTTAAGATAATAAAATATACCAACCCGTGTGGCCAGCGTGGTGTCATCATCACCATCTCTCCCATTGCACGCCCCTTGATCGATTTTGGGCTTCTCGCATCCAGCTCCTGAGCATCCTGTGAGCGTTTACCTACAATAAGTTTGCCGAGACGCGGTCTCCACTCAAGAACTCGTTTTCCCCAACGGTTGTCGGTTCTGCGGCTAATATGGCCAGCCCACTGCCACTTCAACTTGCTGATTCGGTAGGCTGTCAGTGACCTTGGTTAGAAGACCAAAACTTCCTTTCTAAGTAGAAGCCCAGGTGGACTACTAAGTACTGTTGATGATGATGAAAATTATATATTTTCTTTAATTTAATGATATTTGGATGCCTAACTTATGAAAACAAATCAATTTCATGTACTTTCCGTTAAAAAAAATAAGTATTTTAAAGTTCTGTACAATATTAATTGGTAAAGGAACTCTTTCAACATACATTACACATAAACACACCTCTTTTATCTCTCAAAACCTCCTTTCTAAGGAGAGGCCTATGTCCAATAGTGAACTACTAAAGGTTGTTAATGATATCGATGATGGTATATTTCGAAATATCTACATATTATAATATACATCAAACCCACAGCCCAAAGAAAAGAAACCCTATTTTTTCTATTTTAGGAAACAGAACTCTAAACAAACTTATCTTTAAAAATAAAAATAATTTAAATTAAGAAAAGGGAACTAGTATATGAGAGTTAATATCATCTGTGGTAAATATAATACTAAAACAATATATTCAACAAACTCAAGGTCAATAATGTCACTTAAAAAGATATCAATATAATATCAAATTCTGATGGCATTAAATATGTTAGTGATTCATTCCTTAACTTAACATTTAAAAAAATACAAAGGAAAGAAAAAATATCGTATGTATTAACATAACCAGTGGTAGATTGTAGCGAATCTTTTGATTCTAGAAAAATATATTAAATGGTTTTATTTTATTTTTTATTTATTTTATTATCAATACAGTAATGTACAAAGCTAGATTCTACACGCAGCTTTGCTTGCGTGACTGACTGATTTTGTCAAACAATTTTTATCATCATCATCGTCATAAAAGTTGCCTAAGTACTGTTGACAATAACCCATCTTAATACCATCTTTATCCACATTCGTTCCATTGATACATCAGCTATCCTCAAAGCCAAAAACAACACTAAACCTATGCGTTTATAATAATAGGAGACCCAAAAACTTATTTACATGATTAAAGGGACCGTGTGCGCATATTTATGTGCTTACATAAAACAAAATAATTAGTATGTGAAATAAATAAACTTTATGTAAAATAAAAATACATATAGACTAAAATTTTAAATATAAGACAGACTTGAGTTGAAAATTTTAAAAATAATACCTCAAATAATGGTAGGTAATAGAAAAATTAGATATTAACTAAATTTGCTTGAATATATTTTAACTATATTTTGTTTTCAATTAAATTATAACTATTTAAAGTACAATTCAATTAAACTGATTGAATTACCTGTATGCCTCTATCTGTTACCTAAATATACAAGTCGATTAATAATCTTCATTTAGGATTCCAGATACTTACACAAAAACTACTTAAAATAGTAAGTGCTTACTGCCACTCATTCTGTTACTAATTTTACCATCTCTAAGACTGTTCTCATTAATGGACTAACAAAATTTATGGACCATGAATATGTTAATTTTAACAAAACACTCACATCTGTGTGGTTTTTCAAGTCTAAATGAAACCATAAATAACAAGATAGGTACTTAATAAAACCACGAATACATCGCGCGACGCCATAGAGTCTGCCCGTGATGATGACACCACTATTTCAATTTGAGAAATTTAATTCAGAATACATTAACGAAAAACATTATGCAAATTTAATTTACTATTGGCGAGAATTTCGTGCCAAGTAAAATATTTAACATAATATCCACACAATTTTGTATAAAAATTATAAATAAATAAAAGGCTTACAATAAAACGTAAGCTTACACGTATTGAAAGATCATTGAAAAAGAATATATAAATATCACAAAGTCCATTGTATTATAATTTTGGTTGTAAATCGGAATTCTTAATGAGTCTCTTTAATTTTTCGCCGACCGATTTATTTTTGTGCTAGCGATGCGCTGGATCGCTTTAAGGACCTTTGTATTTACCGCCTTGACACATGCAAGGCTTACTTAGTTACAAATTAAATTGCTAAGTTTTTA